TAGAAGGTTAATTGATTTGCTTCCACTGGCTGCTTGAGAGGTTCTCTTCTTTTCTCGGGGTGCCTTCTCCCGAGCAGCTTGGATAGCCTCTCGATTCGCTGCGAGAGTTGCATTAGGTCGGTTCGGCACAGCTATAAAGGATGAGTAGGTTGGTGTGTACCCAAGTAGGGTGTGGGTATCTCGGCAGAAAAATGATTCTTTGAAGTTCTAAACCTTCTGAAGTTGATCCAACTTCACAGAAGACTTAGGGACCTTGCCTTTCACAGTCTCTCCTACACCAGCACCACAACAGATAAAAAAAAAAGCAAGTACCTGGCAAGCCTTCTTCGTATGGGCAATGGTAGGATGGGATAGCACCGGGAGCATATTTCCACTTGTCGGAGACAAAAACGACATCATTTTCATAACCCTTATTCGAGTCAGGAAGATGTGTGACCAGGTATCTCTCATTCTTCCTCACTGGGAAATAGTAGCTATCTCCAGCGGCCTTGATGATATAGCAGTACAGAATCTTCCATAACCCCAGACTCAGACCAAGAAGCTTATTCAGAGAAGAAACACCCATGACAATTCGGAAGAAGTTGAGGAAACACTAGAGAGGACAAAGTTTTGTGGAAGAAAGGATCCAGAGAAGAAAAGGGTCAAGGGGAAAGTGGATTCCACCTTCGGTAATAGCACGAGTAGGAATGGGGATCCACTTTCTCGTGCCAATCAGAGGCTCATCCTTTCCGGCGACTCTGACATCAACGTCATCTGGTATGTTGTACTTGACTTTGAAGGCGGGAACCTTAGAAGGAGTTAGAGAGGTCATTGAAGAAAAAATGAAGTAAATTTGAGAAAGATGAAACACATAAGTAAAACTGAGAGAGAATAGGAGTCAGAAAGCAAAAAGCAAAGTGAAGGAAATGCGAAGAAAGACGTAGTTTATGAAGAGGAAGGAATTTCAAAAGGTCATATTTAAATGCCCTGAATATGCCGCCAAAACAAAAGGGGATGCTCCAATGTACAAATAGTAATGATGAGAAATCAAGAAAACGGCAGACAGACGAAAGACGTCTGTCAGACGTTTTCTAGGGACAAATGAAAGGGCTAGCCCCCAGAATTACATGTGTTAGAACATTAAATGAGCTTATGTGAGATTGACAAGATGGATCACGTGACGAAGAAGTCATCCACCTGATCTTATGATCCGACCCGAATTGATCAATGTATTCGACAAACAAAGAAAAGAGGTCTGCTCAATTTACCGAGCTCATGAATCTCTTCAGCTATGTAAGGAAAGTGCTCGGCTTGTACCAAGCGTAGATCTCCAGAATGCACGGTTTGTGCCAAGCCGAGTTTCCAAACAGTTCGGCAAAAGTTAATTGAGCTCAGCATTCAAAATGCCCTAGCAGTTCAAAACGATGAAAGGAAAGTTAAATATTCGCTTAAAATCCAGGCAATTAGATAAATGAAATCAAAGAGATTGAAAATATCAAGATAAATTATTGGAGAAGTATCAGTTACTTCCCAAACTCAACTACTGAATTAAAAGAAGATGTGCCACCTTGAATCTAAAATCGTGGAAACCCTAAGGGAATAATGACATATAAAAAGCAGAAGAGACCAAGGTGAAAGGTACGCTGAAATCTCCTGGTCTTCGTGCAATTCTTTTTATTCTGTTATTGATTTAAGCATCGGAGTGCTTCCGATCAAAACACTTCGATCTTAGATAGTTTGTTCGTTCGTTTTGCAGAAAGAATATTGAGAGACAACAATTCAGAATTCTTTTCAGAAATCACGAATTCATCATTTGAGGTATTTCCAGTTTTTTGCCTCTACATAAAGTTTTATCAATATGCATTATTTTAACTTGATTATAAAATTTTAGAATTAGATCAAGATTTCGAAAGAGTAGTTCTTAAGATGACTCGTCTTAATTATAATAAAGAACAAAAAAGAAGGAAAAAAAATGATAATATAGAAAAAAAAAATTTAAGATGACTCATCTTAATTATATATTAGGGACGACGTGTTGCTACTTTTTACATTATGTTTTTTCCAGAAAAGAGCACGAATCGTCTTAAAAGAATGATCTAATATACGCTTCACTCGTTCATTTTTTCTTTTGAATTCATATTTTGATCACCATAAAACATCCATAAGCAGCAAACTTAGAAGCGAATGACCATTCAGATTAAGAGAGTGTTTCGGTAGCAAAACGATATCGTTTCTAAGTTTAATTTGTTATGAATCAATCCGTTTTATAAAAGTAAAAATAAAATATTATATTAAACAGTAATTTTTTGATTCCGCAATTAAACCCCGTCCATTTATTATGCTTAGAGAGTGGCAGGGTACGCAAACAGATTTGATGGGAGTGAGGGTGGAACATGTAAATAAAAAGTACATAACTTATTATCCAGTGACTGTCCACCTTGCCAATTCCATGACCATCAATAGTCTATATCACTATTACTTTCAAATCTTTCACAGTCGAACATGCACAGTTGTTGTGGGGTTCACAAGGTTCCAATTTTGTTTTCCCCACATTGCCAAAACTGAGAGAAGTAAGTTTTTCCACAGTGGATGTTTCGGTCCAACTTTTCACATTAAAATTAGATATTTGGGCTTTAGATTTCATATTGGACTCAGTAATTGATCATTATAATAGCTTAATTAGATTTGATTTCGAGAACAATAACGGTCTCGGCCAAGGATCTCGTGATTCTATTAGTGAAATCCTGTTAAGATGGTTTCTAAACGGTTTATTTTGTTCTCTTTTTTTTTGTTACTAACAAAAAAAAAAAAAGAACTCTAGTCTGGAAATTAAAGAAGGTAACCGTAGTCGTGTACCTGACGGAAGTGCTATTTTTGGGGAATTATTATATGAAGATAAGTTTACGGTTTAATTTGATGAATGTAATGTTAATTAGAATGGTGTTGTGCAAGATTTATGGTAATTTTCTAGTGCCCCATTCAATTTTTAAGAGTTACTTGAACTGCTCATTTTAGTTATAATCGAAATTCTTTAGTTCAAACTTGATCCCAAATGTGTCGTATTTAGTCTCTTTTTACAAGAATTATATACATAATTGGTACTGATAATGCATAAAGTTAACTATGCATGATCAAATTAGTCAAGTGTGTAGAGTGTAAAACAATTAATAATAAGAGAAAAATATTTTGTGGTTGGGTTTGAGTGACCAAACCACTAAAGGCGGTAGTCAAAGAATTTTATTAATGAGAGAGTATTAGGTAGTTGGGAGGAGAGAGAGTAAGAATAGACTCAAATTGAAGTATGTGAGATCTATAGGCACAGAGTCGTAACTGCGGCGGTGATGTAAAGGTTAATCTATTAATTTATTGAGGATAATAGTTACAATTTGGGATAAACACTATCTTGGAGTAATGGTTATTCTAATGATTGCTCTCCCATGTGTATTGAATCTTCTTAAACTCTTAAATTTTTGATTGAAATGAGGTCATGCGCTAAGTTTAACCTATCTTTTGATGATCTTAGATTAGCATATATATATGCTTGACAAATCTTTCACCTTTAAATGTTTAATTTTTAAAATTTTCAAAAATTTAATTAATCCTTCCAATCAAATTATACCATTTGACTTATTTCATTACTCTTTCCATCTTTTTGTAATTACTTCTATTATTTTTTTAAAATTATTTTAAATTTTTACTCATCTTTCTTCACTTTTAATTTATTGATGGCTAATTTTTTAATTATATAAGAGTTAAAAAAAGGGTAAAACTGAGTGGTGCCGGGAAAACAAATTTCTATTAGAGGGGTCGCCCTGCTAGTACAGATAATATTTTATATCAAGGAAAATTACATTTAGACTTTTAAACTTTATCACTTAATTTCTCAAATTTTGTGGTATTTAAAATATTTCACATAAGACTCCTTGACGTATATAGGCGTGTAATACTTAAATTTCTCTCGCCAATATCTGTTAGTATATCTGTTGGTAAATTACACTCAGACTCCCTAAAATTTATAGATATATAATAATTAGACATCTTAAATTTAAAATGTTATACTTAGATAAAAATACTCTAATTAAAAATAAAATGTCAAATATTTTAAATTTTATAATCAAAATTTATGTTCTATTGTATTATTTGTTGAAATAAAATAAAAAATAAAAAATTAATTTTTTTAAAAAAAATCATAATTAGCATCATAATTCATGAACATGATTGAATCAAAAATCGTAATAGAACATGAATTTTTTTTTAAAAAAAAATCAAATTCATAATAGAACATGATTTTTGGTTGTAACATTTATGTTCTATTATGAATGACTTATACTCTTTATTTGATATTTCAATTTTATTCTAATAAATATTCTAATTGTATATTAATTATAATTTTTTAAGAAAAAAAATTAATTTTTATTTTTAATTTTATTTCAATAAATGTCATAATAGAACATGAATTTTAGTTATAAAATTTAAAATATTTATTATTCTATACTTGGTTGAAATATTTTTTTATCTAAATATAACATTTTAAAATTAAAAAATTTAAATATTACACGTTTATAAACTTTAGGGGATTTGAGTGTAATATATTAACGAATATACTAATGGACGATAGATAGATGTTTAAGTATTACGTATATACAACCCTTAAGATATATGTATATAATATTTTAAATATCAAAAAATTTAAATAATTAAGAGACAGAGCTCAAGATATCTGTGTAATTCTCCATTTATACAATGCTGCTCGGAGCAATTTTCAGATTTTAGAAAGAAATGTTTTGAGAGTCGCCGATTATTTGACGTGGGTGATGGAAAAGCGTATACGTTGCGGGTTACCAAAGGTGACAATGTGGGGTCCACGTATAGTTGCATTCTCACGCCAACGAGGCCCACAAAGCCTGTGGTGATCAACTCGAATCTTCCATGCGCCTCTCTCTCTGATTTGCTTTCTCTGCGTGCAAGCAAATAATGCACACTGATCCAATTTCCAGTACAGTTTTGTAACCAAATTTCTCTCTCTCTCTCTGTATATATATATAGTATATATACGGTGGCTGCTCTTAAAGAGCTGTCTTTGTTTACTTAGTAAATTTGAACGTCCTAACTGAACTTTTCTTTTTCACTCTCTCGCTCGACACCTCTAGATCTCTTCTCTCTTCAAATATACATCCCTTCATCAATACATTCTCTCTCTGACTCTCTGTATTGGTTATAGTCTTCTCTCCTTTAATCACAAAAAGGAGTGACAAGTGTGCAGGGATGGATCCATCAAGTGCACCTCATCATCACCAGGTAAGAATCAGGATGAGAAATGAGTCATTAGTATAACGAAACCGTTGATTTCTTGTTCAAATCACTTCCTTCTTTCCTTTTTTCCTTTCTGGGTTTGTTAAATTGAAAAAGTTTAAAGTTGTATCATCTTCATATATTATATAGTTTTATTTTAGAACTTTAATGAAAGAGAAGGAAGGAAAGAAAAGGGAAAAAAATGATTTTGTTTTTGAATTTCAGGAATCCCATTTCTATACTTTTTGGGTTTTTTTTTTTTAATTTTTTTTTTATTGTGTTAAATGTGTCTTCTGCATGGTTTTGATCCAAGCTAGTATATTTTCTTTGTGAAGGACCAAGTGGGTGGTTAATTTTAGGTTTCAACTTCGTCAAATTGTCTGAATGTGAAAAATGGTTCTGTGGCTTGTTTTATATGCTTGTTGGTTCTCATGAGAAGAAGAATCCTTAGAAAAAATTCATCTTCTTCCGTTTTCACTTCCATCAAATGGACACCTTTCATTATTCTCCTGATGTTTAAACTTTCTGTGAAGTTTTTTTCTTGTTGGGTCAACGAAAAGTGTTCGGACAGTTTATTCGAATTTCTATTAATTTTCTCTTCGGTCTATAAAAAAACCATCTTAACGAGAGATGAGTCCTCATTCTATGAAGTAAACATACAGTAGCTAGATTGTATCCATAATGAGAATTGCATTGCCAGATTTTATAAGGTGAGGGAGTGACCAGTTGTAAAGGAAGTCACTTCCAGGCGGAAGTGATTGCGGGTTCCAACTTCATCCCCTTCTCCGTCTCCTCCCCCCAATTTTTTTTTTTTGAAAGCTTTCTTAGTTAAATTATTTCTTAATATGTTTCCACATTGAATTGAGGAGATAGCTTAGTGCCACTCTTGTTTACTCTTCAGTCACACACATGCACATACACTCATACAGACACATATACCTCTTTTGGACTACGGTAATCTATGGTGAATTGGTCATTTGCTTCAATGGACAGCACAAGAGTCATTTGGCTTCATTCTAAGTGGCTTCTCTTCGTAATTGTTTCTGTTCAGGAGATGAGTTCCCAGACAGTACTAGAAAGCTTGTTGGTTTGCACAAAAGCACAGCAAGAGAAGAAACCAAAGCCTCCTGATCAACAAGCTCTAAATTGCCCTAGATGTGACTCCACCAACACTAAGTTCTGTTACTACAACAACTACAGTCTCTCTCAGCCAAGGTACTTCTGCAAATCATGCAGGAGGTATTGGACCAAAGGTGGAACACTGAGAAATATTCCAGTGGGTGGTGGATGCAGGAAAAACAAGAGATCATCATCATCATCAAAAAGGAGCCAAGATCAACCACTCCCAAACAATCCCAACTCTTCCTCAAATCTCCCACCCTTCTCTTATGACTGCAATGACCTCAGCCTTGCATTTTCTAGGCTCCAGAAGCAAGCATCTGGGCATTTAAGGTTTGATCATGACCATGATTTCTCAGAAATGGGTAACCCTAAAAACACTTATTTTGATAGTTTTTTGGGAAATTCAAGTGTGAACACTTCTGCTACAACTCCTGGATTTTTTGGTGCACCAAGGACTGGTTTTTTTGAAAACCCAAATGGGGTTCCCAATTTGTACTATGGAAACATGGGGCATGGTGAAAATGGTGGTGTGGGTCTCAATTTTAGTGAAGAAATGACAATGCCATATGGAGAAATGAAAGGTGCCACAACAACAGCAACAACAGTTACAACAGTGAAGCAAGAGTTATGGAATGGGAGAGAAGGCGAGAATAGGGTGTTGTGGGGTTTTCCAGGGCAGTTTGGTGGAGATGGAAACATTGGTGATCTTGATTCAGGAAGACAAAGCTGGAATGGTCTTGGTTCATCTTGGCATGGTGGACTTCTTAATAGCCCTCTCATGTAGATTTTGGAAATTCAAGTTTGCAGAAAACAAAAGAAAGAGAAAATAATACAATTTGGTCCTGACTCCTCTCGCCAGACTCAAATCTTAGTTTAATCTTGAGTTTGTATAAAGAAACTTTACTTACCAGAGTTTTGTCTATTCTTGGTTGTCTCTTTTAGCTTTCCTTCTTTTTTGTTGAGTGTTAAAGTAATGAAATTTACCGTTTGTTTCTTACCGGAGCAATACAACACAAATTTAAAAAATTACTTAATAGGGTAGTTGTTATATTTATCATTGATTTAACTGTGAGTTATAATATTTATTAGAACTCACTCTCTAATTCAATAATCATGATTCATCAAGTCAAAATTTTAAGTTAACTTTTTAAATCTATTTAATATGTTCTTTTTGACCGAGTAAGAAACCTTAGAATCCGCTATAGTATGACTCGATATCATACAAAATTTACTATAAAACATGAATTAGTGAGGACTTATTTGAAATGAAATTACGATTTGAAAGTTGTATACTTTCCTCTTAATTAGGTCAAATTATGATTTATTGCGAATTCACTAAGTTGAGTTAAAACATTATTTAACTACACGAGGAAGTTAGTGGTGCGGAGTTAACATAGGATAAATAGTAAATTTAGATATCCTGAGTTTAACTCTTGTTGTTGACTCACGAATAAAACTGATTACAATAGTTAGTAGATAATTATATGTCATCTGGGTTTACTCTGCAGTTGTAGACCGGATATCATACAATACTCGTAGAAGAAAATTACTCATCCTAAAAGAAATAAAACATTTTTTGACAAAAAAAGTGTGTGGAATGGAATGTGTTTTCTCACTTTAAAAATGAAGACAGAGATTAAGACTGATGTGTTATAGTCTCTGTGGTAATTAATTTTATCACTTTTTTTTAGTATCATAATAGTAGTAAAAATATACACAAAAATGATAAATATCGGTATAATTCCATTTTTTTTCAATACGATAGATAACTCCTATTTAACAGATTACCATGTTGTAGGGGTTGATGGGTGTTCTCTTCTTCCCCAAGGATTAGAATTTTAGTGAAGCATGAGCACCAATTTCGGGATAGATATTCCTCAGACCAAATCCAACATTAGATTTGGGCGTGGAAATAAGATCAGTTAATATAACATAAAGTTCAGACAGTGTTTGAATATTTTACAGGCTGTGTCTTTTTGACAAATTCATGGGGCGAACGGGAGCCTTTTGACTGGAATGAGAATGTTTAAAATTGCCCAAGCGATAACTATTTTTCAAGTTCTTATGGTGTTTCAAATCGATTGGATTGGACGGCAGAATAATTTGAGATGTGATGTGTGTATATGAGAGTGTGAGTGTGTATGTTATGTGTATGATGCAAGAAGAATATATCGGTGTGAGTGGTTTGCCTTAACTGAAAAGTTAAGGTTACGTCCACCATGAGGAAGACTATTACTCTATGACGATTGTATTGCTTGGAGAAAAAAATTGTTATTACTACGTGTTTGGCTTGAGGTCTTTTACATGATATTGCCTAGGTTTTACTTAGTAGCTTTCCACATGAATCTCACTGTACATTGTGGCCTTGTTGGTTATATATATAATTGGTAGTTAGGGTTTTGTTTTTGTCATTTTTGGCTGATTTTGTGGTTCTTTTTGTGTTTGTCTTTGTCCTGGAGCAGTGGTCCCTAACACCTTTCTGCATTCACTACTCACCGACTATAATACATAATCTGTCTCTACTAACCGTAAATTTTTGTTCATCAGAGCCAAGCAGTTAGGTAATGTTCCCTTGTTCTTGTTCACGTGTCATGCTGCAGCTTTTGCAAGATTTGCCCTTTGCCGTGCTCCCATCTCCCGAACTGGTACTTATACCGAGCTCATTAACATCGAGCCTCTCTGGCATTGGGTCTCAGCACAAGTTCGAGCCTAGTGAATGCTGTCTAGATGAGTTACTTGGGTCGCCTTTTACAAGCTCAAAGAGTCTTAGGCTCTAGAGGGTCCAAACTTAAACTCATAATCATCAAGTTCAATACTAATTTTTTAAGATTAAATTATAATTGAACCTTAATTGAGACTTGACTTAACCTGTTTGAATCATAATTTTTGAAACGACAACAATAATACATACCAAGTCTGACTTATTTTTCTTGCTCGGACGCGGACGCCAAGAGAATGATTTCACATTTCCATGTCTATCACCAGCTTCTGTATGGGCACAACATCAGTAGCAACTTTGAAAACAAAACGATAATACTTTTGCATTAGCCACTGATAAAATTTTGTAAAAACTCTCTCTAAGCCGACTTCCACCTTGTTTCAAATATGAAATGGTCTATCAGATTCATTAATCTTTTATTTAACTTCAATTGCAGCAGGACACAGGAGTCATCAACTATTTATTGTTTTGTTCACATGAAACCACTTCCATTAATTTGTTATCTCTCTCTAAGTGAATTTGATGTTGTCCGTTTTGAGTTCTTTTAAAATATTGCCCATTTTGTGCTAAACTTCCATAGTTTCTACAGTTTGTTGCACAACAATGGTTCAAAACTCAAATTTATATGAAACTTCATACACCCATGCGTGCAGTGTGGGATGTGTGTGTGAGAGAGATTTTAATTAAATAAACAAAGAAAATAATGAAGAGGCTTATAAATGAAATCAAACCCAGTAGTTCCCTAGAGTGTGATTACTTATTAAATTGCCAAATGGAAGGCAGTGCTAATGGCCTGAAATATCGAATTTCTTCTTATTTATCAATCTTCATCATCACTAAACAGCCTAGATTTAAAAAGAGGAGAGAACTCATACAAAAGGCAGGAACCATGGCATCATGTTATGATCTGGATTGCTTTGTATAAAGCCCATCAAACAATTGCGCTTTTTTGTGGTACATTATAAAACTATAATGTATCAATATTGGCAATGGGCTACTGAAAAGTATCCCAATTATGACTACAAACTGGTATCAGGGAGAAGCATTGCAATTTCAGAAGATTCAGCACTCCAATTCGACAGAGGTTTAACAACTGAGCCACTTGGGCATAGCTACTTTCCTAGTTGACATATGATGTGCAACATTATATAGAAATTAGTAACACAACGAATGAAAAACATAAGCATCCCTCAAGTTACAGAGAATAGTAGTTGAAACCCAAACAGATGGGAGAATGACAAGAAAAAGAACATTTGTCAGACTCAACATGTCATTTTTTTGTTTGGTAAGACAAAAACAGAAGACATTGTATTCATAGTTTAGTCTTTATGATACTGAAACATGAAAAAGCTAAACGCATTGGTAAAGAGGAGAAAGAAGGGGGTTGGGTGGGAAAGAAAAAAAAAATCACAGTTGATCAAAAGGGATGATCTGTTCGTTAAATCATCTCTCCACAGGAGCTTAAGACCTTGGCTTCTCCTTCTTCTCTTTGAAGAGAGCTAAAAGAGACACACCTGATACCTTTACAACCTTGAACCTGACTCCAGGAATATCTCCAACAGCATGCCCCTTCCGGCCAAATCCTGCAATTAGCACTTCATCCTACAAGCAAATCACACATTAACTTTCAGTTAGACCAAAACCAAAACAACTGAAGAGCACAAATAGATTGCTAATGGAAACCTTGGGCCGGTGTGAATAAACCAGAACACTCACATTCTCTTCAATATAGTTCAAGCAACCATCATTTGGTACAAAGGCAGCAATCTTCTTCCCATTCTTAATTAGCTGAACTCGAGCACACTTTCTAATAGCAGAGTTCGGCTGCTTGGCCTCAATCCCGCTGTTAAATTTATTCAGTCATGCATCAGTTAGATCTCATGTCGTACAAATTTCAAACATAAAAAATGGATGAGAATTTCAAAGAAAGGGCATATGAAGTTGGTCTTACATTTTCTCGAGAACTATGCCTTTTGCATGGGAGGATCCAGCAAATGGTTTCTTCCATTCATTGCCAAGATGAGACTTCTTATAAGCCTTGTCAGCCCACCTTTGCCTCCTACGGTGGGACTTCAGCTTGCGACCAGCTCCCATTCCACGTGTCTTCCTGTACAAATAAGCCAGTAGATAATAATATGTTAATGAAATTCAGAATGGAGCGGCTAAACAATGTACGAAGATCAATAATGAACAGGTCATTCCAAATACACATTAAAAAAGCACAAAAGACCAGACTGCAAGTCCACAGAATTGAAGGATAAATAAGACACTACTTAAACCTTTGCCATAGTTAGAAAACGAGAAACGAGGACATTGACTTTGTAGCCCTCCCTTTTATAACTCGAAGGCCAAATAATAAAAACATCAAGCAGCTTACTATCTTCTGAACAGGCATCCTTAGCCACCACAAAATCAAATGACACTGTACAAGTTGGTACTGGAATTTCTGTAAACAGCTCAAAAATCAGAGAACAGGAAGCTTCGATTACATGGTATACATTTACTTAATTTTGATTAACAATCCTTCCATGCATAATTTATCAGCTCAAGCGTTTCAGATGAGTTCACATGCACCCCATGGCAATAACCAATCTTAAGGAAGAAAAACTAAACAAGGCCAAGGTGTTTTCAAACAATCATCATCAATCTATGCATTTACATATTTTTGTTTTTAAAAAAGACACATTCAGAAAGTCATCAACAGTATTCCCTTTTTTGAAACCCATAAGATGTGGAGCAACTTCATACTGCACTCTGGGATTGGAATAACCTACCCCAAAAAAGAGAGACTCAAATTCTTCCTTAACAAGATCCACTCAAAGGAAGCTTTGGTTAATTTAATTGTAGCCATTGAAATGCTTCAAGATAACGAGTCCACCACGCATAAATTACACAAGTCGTTCAACAAGTGCTAACACACATTTTTTGGAAAACCATTCTGCCAAACAACTCCTTACATAGGTCCTCTATTACAGAGAGGAGAGGACAAGTTCATCACAATGGTTTTCAGACCATCTTACTCCATATACATCAGCAAAATCATCAAACAAAGGCAGCCTTTAAATCCATCTGTCTAATTCTGAGACTAAATCATTGCCACTACTCATTTATCTATAACTCAGATCTTTAGTTCTGCTTTCCAAAACCCCAATGACCGGCCGGATGTGACCAAATTCTGCCAAAGTCTCAACTTTATCATCCAAAATTAATTTGACATGCAGAGCCACCCTTCTTATTTTTCTTTCTAAGCTCAAACTTGTCAGAGAAATAAAAAACCAATTTTCCTTTTTTCACAAATAAGTAGAAAGCAAAGTGTATTAAACACCATGTCTCTCCACCACGAATATGCAACTCCAATGAGTTCAAAAAGTCCAGAAAAGTTCTGAGAAACATTTGATGTAAGTCCATTAGCATTCAAAGCTGTTCATTGCCAGTTATTACGGCTACTCAGCTTTGCCAAGATGGACTGAATTTCAACACAATAAACACTCACACAAAATACCCATTTGGCCTCTAACCCTATAGAACATATATATAGAAGTTTAATTATTTTTCTCGGGAAATTTTTTCAAGGAATTATTTTCTGTCGACACAAACGATGCTCAAGGAAACACAAGCTGTAAATTAAACGGAAGATATAATATTGATATGGAGATATAGAGAGAGATAGGAGATCGAAGATTCGTACCCCATGGTGACAGAATGAAGGGGCTCTTCGGCGGTGAGTGAATGCTAAAGAGTTTCGAAGTCGACGGAGCACTCCTAGCTGCTACGGCCACCAGAGATGAAACCCTAAAATATGCGACTTTAAAAGAGGAAGGAAGCCACATCAGACTTTTTAAATTTATAAAAAAACCCATACTTTTTTTTATGATTTAGACTTTTCCCCAAAACCTTTACGGTTAAAAATTAGCCGAGATATGGTTGATCAAACATTTTAAATTAAACTATATATATAGCCCTCAAATGATGACTCTGATTTTAATTAAGGGTCCGTTCGGTAACGTTTTTATTTTTATATTTTTTTTAATAAAAAAACAGAAATAAGTTTTATTTTTTTATTTTGTGATAAAAATTAAAAATTTATTTGGTAGTCACTTATATTTAAAAAATTATGAAAACAAAAATAAAAAATATGTTTGATAATATATCAAAAATTCATCACCTAAACCCCACCACTCAACCCCACTAACCACCTAAAACCACCATCCAAACCCACTATGCACCCAACCCCACCACCAAAACCCACCCCCAACCTCACCACCAAAACCAATAGGCCACTCCCACCATTGAAAACCACAACCACAACCACCCCACTGATCACCACCCAACCCCATCTCTGAAAACTCACACCTAAAAACCCATTTCCAAATCACCACCCCTACCACCGAAATCCACCACCCAAAATCTCTAAAATCCATCGCTCATTTATATATACAAACAATATACATAGATCTAGAGGTTGAGAAGACGATTGAGAGGGGGTGATGACATGTTTTTCCCTTTTTCTGCTTCATCTTCGTCTTTGGCAGAGAGAGAGAAAGAGATGACTGAGAGGGGCGATGGCTTCGACTTCGACTTCGTCTTTGGCATCGAGAGACAGATAGTACAGAGAGGGGAGATGTTGATGGAGATGTCTTCTCTTCGTCTTCAGCCTTTGGCATCGAGAGAGAGAGTCGACAGAGAAACGACTGAAAGGGGTGAAGGAGAGAGAGACATGGGCTTTTATACTCAAAGCAAAAAAATTCATATTTTGTTGTTAATGAGGACCGAAGTCAAGACTTCATTAAATCCCTTTATCAATCGCACGTTTGTTTTTTTTTTTTTTGATGTTTTCATATTTTAGCCTTATTTTTAAAATAGAACAATTAAAAAAAACTAAAATATTCACCAAACATGTTTTTTTTTTACCATAAAATGAAAAAAAAAACAAAAACTATTGGTTACCAAACACTGCCAAAGTCTTTAATTTTTTTTAATATCAATTGAGCTTCTGAACTCTTTAATTATATCAATTAAGTTTTTTTGCCTGCCTTAAATTTTTTTAACGGAAAGTAGCGAAGTGTCACAAATAGTTGGAGTAAAATATACATATAACCCTTAAAAAACTATAACATTTGTGTCAATTAACCCTTTATTTTTTATTTTTTTTTGTCAATTAAACGCTTTTGTCTTTTTGTGATATAGTCACGTGAATGACACACTTTAATAGAGGTAGGCATAAGGGTTCAATTGACACAATTATGTTCTGTTTGATATGATAGAAAAATGGAAAGATGAAAAGTTGGAAGGATGAAAAGTTAAAGGGATAAATAAAACATCTTGTTTGCTAAGGAAGAAAAATAGGAAAGATGAAAAAGTTGATGAATTAACTTTCCTTCCAACTTATCAAAATCAATCCCTCCAAAATCGAAAATATAGTGAATGGAAAGTTAATTATTTGGGTTGAGATATATCTTATTTGTCTATATATTATATATATATATTAATTTCATATAAAAATACAATGATAAAATATATATTTATATATATATATATTTAAAAAATTTTAAAAATTAAAATTAAAATATTAAATTAAAAAATATATATATTTTTTATCTTAACTAGAGGTGAAAATTTTCAACTCAATATGATGACACGATTCAAACTCGAGACGAATTTTACAACACGAACTTGATTATAACTCGACACGAACTTGAAAATAACCTCACACGCGAATAAGAAATATAAAAAGCTCATAATTTTATAACTCAACATGAATTTGACACGACACGACTCGACTCGATTGTCACCCCTAATATGACAAAAAAAAATTAGTCATTTTTATTTTTCATCATTTAACCAAACACAAAGGAAAAAAAGTGTATCATTCCTACTTTCTATCATTGATGAATAGAAAGTGTATCCCTCTTACTTTTCATCCTTCTTACCAAACGAAACATTAGAGAGTTTAAATATTCAATTAATACAAAAAATAAAATTTAAAAACTTAATTAACATAAAATAAACATAATTTAAGAGCCATATAGTTTTCCCAAACTTTTTAGTCCAATAAAGTGGGCAGCAAGCCCTGGACTATTCAGAATTTTTCTAAAACTTATTTTATTATTAATTATTAATATGAAATGTACTCTAACATTAGATCTCAAGGGGCCTTGATGATTGAATTGCTTTTTTATTTTATTATTTAGGCCCATTTGTGGCACTTTTCAACTAAACCATATGGTCTTAAACGGTTTAAAAAATAAAAAATTTATATCTTATATTGGTGAACCCTTTCAATCACTCACATTTTATAACTAGAAAATTTATTCTATAGTAATACGCATAAGGAATATGCTAAATGCATGTAGGAGTGCAACTTGGGTTAGGTAACCTGATTTTAATCCGAAAAAATTAGGGTTTGGATAAGGATTTTTAATACTTGGGTCAAAAAACTCAAACCCCAATTTAATTTGGGTTGGGCTCGGATTAAGGCTTCAAGTTCACGGGTTTAACCCGAACCCGACAAATTTTAAAAAAATAAAAATAATATATATATATATATATATATATATATATATATATATATATATATATATATAAAGAGTATTAGCACTAATTTTTCATTTTTGGTGTGAACGCAGATGATCAATAATCGCGCACTGTTATGAATGAGATATATGAATTATGTTTTATGAATTTATAATTATTCCTCCCTCTCTCTGTCTCCATAGTGGACTGGTGACAATAGTTTTTATGTTAAAAACTTGATTGAAGTTATAGGTTGTTAATTTATATGAATATTATGTAATATATATGTATTAGGTTTAGAACAACAAGTTTATTTTGGGTTTTACCTGAACTCAACTCGAATTGAACTCGTAAAGTAACCTGAAATCAGCCCAAAATCATTAACTCGAATTCAATCCAAGCCAGTTCGAATTAAAATCAGGTAGTGCTCATGGAGGTAGGGTTAGGGTTAGGGTTAGTATTAGATATTGGTTGCGTCATGGACCAAAACTGGGACGCCCATGGTGGGTTGACCCAAATTAAAGAATGACTAAAGGGTATGTCTTTTGGAAGTATCCTTTACTAAGAGGTATCTTTTACCAAAAGGTATCTTTCACCCAAAATACATGTCTGTTAAATATTAATAGGCATGTTCCTATATGAAATGTCTTTTAATGACACTTATTGGTTGCCTATATAAACCTAAGGCAATCCAATAGATGAGACATCTTAGATACCTACTCTATTTCTCTTTCTCCTTACATAACATTAAAAGGTTTTTGTGCTGTGAAAACTCGGTGTTGATTCCTATTGTGTAACAACATTATACTGCTCGAGCAATTAAAGAAAAGACATTGATTTGGATTCTAAAGTATGTGAAACATCCTCAAACGATTTTTTTTTTATTAAAACGAATAAGATATGTCTTTAATCCTATGCTTCTGAAATATGTTATATGATTTTCAACATTGGGATCATAGCCATTTAGGGTGTTCTCGTGCCTTTGGAATCAATTATCAATTGTTTTAAAAAAATGATCTCTAGTGCCCCAAAACAAAAGATAGTCGACGTTGGTAATTGGATTCCATCCCAAACGTTGTAACGAATAAAGTTAGAATTCACAATATTTGGAAGGGGTTTATTTCTTCGATCAACTTATTGACAGAACTCATAGTTATGGCAGAACAAACATTCAATGCAAATGGCTTCTATTATTGGGACCCACTATTTTCTTATTGTCTTCTTGTTTACGGGTGACAAATACAAAATCTGAAAGAAAACTTAATAAGAGAAAGTTGTTGCAGGTTGATCACGAGGGAAATGGCCTTGTGGGACCCATTGTTTTAGTTACATTATTTAAAAAATAAAAACAAAAATGAGAAGAATTGAAATTGTTCTTGCCCAGTAACGAAAAAAAAAGAAACTTAAGTTGTAACACAATGTTCATTGACCAGTTGTATTTATAGGGAAACCACATTCTATGGATCTAGTTATATCACAGATGATTTTATTATATTAGATATTGATCATTCTAGTAATGAAATTTATTCTTATGTTACATCTATGGATAATGTTGATTCTATTAGATGACATACTAAATTAGGTCATATTGGGCAAGACAGAATGAATAGATTAACTAGAGAGGGATTTTTAGGTCCACTCGCTAAAATCAACTTGCCTACATGTGAAAATTGTCTCGCATGTAAGACAACTAGAAAACCATTTGGTAAGACCAAAAGAGTATCTATTCCATTGCAATTAATACACTCAGATATATGTGGCCAAATGAATGTGAAGACAAAACATGGTGCATCATATTTTATCACTTTTATAGATGATTTTACGCGCTTCGGTCATGTCTATTTGATTTCTCACAAGTCCAAAGTATTGGATTGTTTCAAACGTTACATTAAAGAGGTTAAGAATCAACGAGACAATAACATTAAGGTTCTTAGAACCGATCGAGGTCGCGAGTATCTATCTGAACAGTTTAAAGAGCTGTGTAAAGAAAAATGAATAATCAGACAATTAACAATACCTGGCACTCCGCAACAAAATGGTGTAGCGGAGAGACCAAATCGCACCTTGCTTGATATGGTTAGGTTTATGATGACACAGGCTCATCTTCCGATTTCATATTGGGGAGATGCTTTATTGACTGCTGCTTATATTCTTAATCGAGTGCCTTTTAAATCAGTTCCTTCTACCATATATGAGTTATGGACAGGCACAAAATCTGACTTAAATAATTTACGGCCATGGGGTTTGGCGGCTTATGAATACTTCTCATAAATATGGA